TGTGTGTGTGTGTGTGTGTGTGTGTGTGTGTGAAAACTACACGATCGGAAAATTACAAAATCTCGAGTACCCTTGAGTAAATGCATGAATTACAGTTCGTGAGTGAATGAGTGTACATTTCAATTTTACAGAATGAACTATTGATAAATAACATATTTGTAACTACATTTATTTGATATTTATTACAAATATTGTATTAAGTAAATATGTTCATATATGTCGAATTTGTTCATTTGAGTCTCTTGTAGGAAAAGTTGCCGAGTGGGAACACTTCTTCAAATAATATTTTAAATACGTTTTACACTTTACATCAGCTCAAAGAAACCACTAGTTTAATTCTGCACGTTTGAAAAAGTACAAAAAGGTGAACACTCAGTGGCTAGTAAATGAGTGAGTGGGTGGACGGACGAAAAAGTGAGTGAGTGAAAGTAAATATGTGAGATAGTTTCCACGGTAGGAAAATTACAAAATCTCGAGTACTCTCGAGTAAGTGCATGAATTACCGAGTGGGCGAATTCGTGAGCGAATGAGTGTACATGTCAATTTTACAGAATGAGCTATTAATAAGTAATATTTTAAATATGTTTTACACTTTGCATCCGCTGAAAGAAACCACTACTTTGATTCTACACGTTTGAAAAAGTACAAAAAGTTGCGTACACTCGAGTGAGCTACTGAGGGAGTGGATGGTGAATGAGTGTGTGAGAACTACATAGTCGGAAAATTACAATATCTCGAATACACTCGAGTAAGGGCATGAATTACCGGGTGGGCGAATTCGTGAGTGAATGAGTGTACATATCAATTTTGCAGAATGAACTATTAATAAATAATATTTTAAATACGTTTTGCAATTTACATTCGCTCATAGAGACTCACACACATATTCTTACTCTCACTCATCTTCATGAGTATAAGCATATGTGTGAGAACGTGTAAGTGTATATCGTCCAACGATGATTCGATTCAACGATATATTAGTAACAACTACGTTGTAAAATCACCACTTGATTTTTTAAAAGAAGCTTTTGGTGGATACTGTACATTCGCCCAAAGCACTAAACGGTCTGATTCTACTACACGGTCGGAAAATTACAAAAACCCAGTACACTCAAGTAAGAGAGTAGGAGGTACATGAGTAAAAATGAGAAAGTATAAACGAACAAGTGGTCAATGAATATATATGAATACTGAGTTGATAATCACCAAGAATTTTTTGCTTTAGCATTGCTTTTAGCAAACTGTACATTCATCGGTCGAGAAACTACGAAGTTCACGTACTCTCAGCAGATAGTGGCTTTGAAGGGTGTGAGCATTTGAATTGTGAGCATGTAAGTGTGAGTGTTCAAGAAATGTATACTGAATAAGGAATAACTGCGTTGGAAAATCGGCAATTAATTGTTTAAATAACTTTTAGCAGACACTGTACATTCGTCCAAAGAATCCGACGGTTTGTTTCTACACGGTCGAGAAACTACAAAAGCTGGCGTACCAGCCGGAATCGGTCTAACAAGCATTTGTACTAAAACATTTTCCTTCAAGAAGATCCTAACGATTTACCTTGCCTCTACACAAATACAAACTGACAAAAGGCCCACCTTGGCAACAAACAGTAAATATAATAGGAGTCGAGATAATAGAGAAATAAAAGGTTTTGATTTAATGATGCTGAACAACAAATGGGTTGGCTGTTGGTATCTCAGTTTCATGAGACAAAATCATGGGGAAAGAACGATGATGCCCCAACTTCTAAGAACATTCAACATGAGTCATGACATTTATCAGCCAGCAATATTAAAATTCCTAATTTTAAGGAACCCAGGTGCGAGATGAATATCGTACATTTTTTAAATTAATTAATATAAGGAAAAATGTGTAATAATCTTACCTGAGCGTGTATCTGACATTGGGAAGCATTGCTTCGTTCATTTTGCGGCTTTTTTAATATGTATATAACAAATTAAATAAATATATTATAAAAGTATAAAAAAATTAAGCAGTTTTTATTTTCTGTTGTAAGAAAAAAAATCAAAATAAATACGATTTCAAAAAGCACTAAAACAATCTAATATTTAAACGTGAAGTTTTGATTATTCTGTAGTTTGATAATTACTCTTTTTTTCTTTCTAACTAGAGGTAAACTTCACTTCCAGACACACGATCCGATTGTCTTTAAGGGGCAATAAAAATAAAGGACGTTGCGTTTGAAAAATCTTTTCAAATGTACGTTCCGGGAGGAGCCAGTGTTTACGTCGGTGGGTGATTCCAAAGTGCCGAGGCAGGCGTATCGATTACGATGAGGACGGGGCCGAGTTTCCTGGCGGCGGTTGAGTTCTCTTGAGCTGAGGGGTCCTTGTCCAAAAACGCAGAGAAGTCCGATTCGAGGGGGTAAAAAAAGCACACGGCCACGACACTGCTTTTCCTTTGAAAACGACTGTTGGACGAGTGCGTGCTGGGTCACACTATCTACTCTTCAACGATAAAACAACTGACTGCGACTCCATCTTCCGTCGGCGGGGTGGAAACTCGAGGGTCACGGGCATCCCGCCTACTTTCGAAACTCGGCTTCGCCCTGGGGTCCGGGCTCTTCGTTTCAAAGAACGACGCGAGATCCATTTTATTAACAAACAAACAGCAAATAAATAAATAAACCAATTCGACAGAAAAGGGAAATAGAAAAACCCCTTAGAGAAAATTGTTATAGAAGTTTCACCCTTTCTTTCATACGTAACAGTTTCTCAGGGGTTATTGACCCAATTTCCCACCCTCCTTTTACTACCCTCCCAGTGTTTACGCTCCCTCCCCTTTACCTTCATTTCCGATCCCTCTGACAAAAAATAATTTCAAAAAACCTAAACATGGTGTTCTGTTCAAATGTCCTGGCTGAAAAAAATCTCTGAATATTTTTCAATCTAATTGAAAATTTCTTCAATTAACAAACATATATACAGAGTTCCTTAGGATTAGTACAGCTTTAACATTTCAAATACACCCTATACTTACTCCGACAGAAAATTTAAATGAAGTTTTACGCTTAAAACAATGCCGAATTCCTATTTAAATTGGTCATATATGTAATAAATTTATGATAGGTACACAGTAAAAAAACACATTTTAAACAAAAAATGTTAGTTATTTTTTTAACTAAACCCACTATTTATTTATTTTTAGATAAATAGTGAGCTATGAAGTGGGACCATCGATGTGGCAATTGAAATATAATGCTCAATAATGAATAGGGATATTGCCAATTTTGTAGTATTTACTTTTCCTAGCATTTTATTTTATTTTTATCATAAATTAGAAGGCGTTGCTTATAACCCCGCCCCGAGGAATATCATGTACTCTGGGTTGAGTGCATGACATCTGGAGAGTAAAAGTAATTTATTAGCGTGAAAGAAAGGGGTTCCTTATAACCCCGCCCCGAAGAATATCATGTACTTATGTAGGTGAGTGCATGACGTCTGGAGAGTAAAAGTAATTTATTAGCAACTGCCTCTGTGATATCCACTTGCAGGTGACCTCATGTCTCATTCTCACAATAATATTGCAAACTTCTGGTTCAAGATTGTCTTTTCATGGTTAAAGATAATACAACTGGATTAAAATGGAGAAAAGAAAAAAGGTGTTTGTTTTCCAAAATGAGTAATCTTCATGTTTACTATTCTTAAGTAATTCCGTTATTAAAAATGAGGATTAATCTATTATCTACCCAAATAACAGGGATATATTGATTGGTTAAGTCAATTAACATTAATAGAATAAGAATATATTCCAAATATCCCTATCCATTTTTGAGCAGTTTATATGTCATAAAAATAAACGGTGGGTTTAGTTCAAAAGATAACCAACATTTTGCGTTACCTAAGGTTGAGTTAAGTCTGGATATGCATGGCTTGGGTTAGGTTAAGTTAAGAGAGAAGCTAGAATTATAGACAGTTTAGGTTAGGCTTGGCGGATTAAGGTTAAGGACGTGTTAGGTATGTTTAGGAAGTCACTTTTTGTAAAAGATGGTTGTACTGACAGATTTGAAGATTTTTTTATATTTTAAGTGAATCGATCCCGTTTCTGCAAACTTAGAAAAAAGGGGTGTAGGAGGGAAATAAAAACTACAGCACTAGAGTGCGTCCAGTTGAATCTTCATCACGCCCATGGCGGCAAGTGATGTCCTAAGCCGCCTCTTCACCTGGAAACTCCTAGTCATCGATTTATAAATATATCTTTAGGCATTTTACCTGCCGTTTGTGACTGAAACGATTCGTTTCCTTATAGTATAACATCTGCACAAATAGCTGACCATTCGCTTGCTCAATATTAAAGAAATATTATCAAAGAAAAGCGTACCGAACTGCATTTGCACTCGAACGTGACAGAGAAAAACTACTTGATATCTGCGGTCAGCAGACTTATTTGACTTTAAATACAAAGCAGGTGAGATGTAACGTTGAGCGTATGTTGAAAGTTAAGCCAAACCGCGAAGGATTATCTATCATTTATCCTCGACCAATAGTCCAATCGAAAATTGATGAAATGCTATCACTATGGATGGACTATCTACTCAATAACTCAACCACTACAATATAATATGTAACTAGTTTTATCGAAACAATAAACTGAGATACCGAGAGTATCATCTAGAAAAAAAGGAGAATCTAGAAAAAAATGAAACCGTCCATTTGGGCTGTTAACTCCAATTTCTTACTTAGAAATCTGGCAAAGGAAATAAAGGGATTTGGCTAATCAAAACAATTAATGGACGCTATTGCCTTAGAAGTATTTTCAGTAAATAAATCTTGAAAGATGGAATATAAAGAAATAAAATGTTACTATAGTAAGTGGAACAATTATAGTTTAACTGAGATACATATGCCCCCTCATTTATCAATCGCATATGTTTATTTACAGGAAAACATCAGTAATTTTAAATAAAATAGTTAAGCGGCAAAAGTTAATTTTCTTCCAGGGTTCTTAAAAATGTGATAAATGTAAAAAAGACTTACCTCAGATATTGCTGGGATATGACTTCGTGTGTCGTGGTGTGAGAAGTTTTCCCGTCTTTCGTGTACCAGATTATGGGCTCTGGGATGAGCACGTGGCTCGGGTGCGTCGATATGGGCTCTGGGATCTTTCGGACCTCATTTTCCTTATCCATAGCTTGCTTTGGACGAATCGAACCGGCACGAGATCAAAAAATCAACGCCACTCGTGTGCTATGACATGTTTCGAATTGCTAAAACCAACCACTGCCAATTAGAAGACGGAACGGAACGATTTTTCTACTTAGGAACCGGGGTGAGTGAGGAAACAGAGTCGGCTTTTTTCTTTTTTCTCTCCTTGTCTGCCTTTTTCATAAAGAACGTTGAAGCGCCTCGACTTCTCAGACTGACACCTTGTGAGACGGGCGCAGCCAACTGGAAATCATAGTTGTTACTGAATATTTGAATAGCGAAGGGCTAGAAATTCCGGTTTAACGATTGAACTCATTTAATGAAGAAACTTTAGAATAAAATTTATACACATGGGTGACAAAATACTAGAATCTCAGATATCGTCGGCACGAACAGATGAAAACGTCCAAGGAGACCGAGGCTATCCGAAAAATTGATTATTGCAAAATTGGAAACGTCCGACTACGAATCAAGAACAGAAATCCTAAGTCTATGTCATAACAATTGACTCATGTGTTCGAATTTCGAAAACAATTTTGGAAAAGAAATATAAATAAAATAAAACGTGTTATTGATCTTTAAGAGTAATCAATGTTAAATAGTACTACATAGTAGTAAATTCTAAATTCTACTCTAGTAGCAAATATCTTTAAACATTGTCTATATTGGTTATAAATTCAGATTGCCCAAAATAAGTTCCGTACAAAACATCTACGAGACAGCATATATTCAATGCACCAAACAAAAATAATGTACATTATATAAATATGAATGTAAGGTAAGGCCATTAGTAGCACACTGTACATGCGAGTACAGTCTATGAGCCCAGGTCATCCATCCCTCGATATGACTCGGGACCAACGTCTTCCCAATCGCCAGATAGCATTGTTGGGAAGAATTCTTGAGGAGAGATTACAAATTAAAGGATTTTGATGTTTGGCTAATCTGGAGTGGAATCTCCTATATCGGGAACTGACTAGGGGGTTTGAAAAATGATATTACCAGGTAATAAGAAAGATTCGTGCGGGTTCAACGGATTTAGTAATTATCAAAATTAAAATTAGTTTAGAAATATTTGATTCGGGGAAATAATCTACATCGGCATCTATAACCTTTTCCCGAGTTATTAGTTACTAGCCTACTTATGCTCTTCTTACAGAAGTTTAGATCTTGGAACTTAAAAAATAAATTCAGTTCATTTTCCAGTGTTGGCGATTATCGAAGGCGATTGCTAAGAAAAGGAGAAAGTCAGATGAGGCCGGACTGGAGTACGGAATGTGTGGTAAGAAGCTTCATTATCGCCACCTTTGCTGTTCTGGCTACATACCCACCCAGGGAGTTGTAGCTCACTCAATGTGGAACTACAGCGACGACGGGTGGTATAATGTGGTTGAGGTCGAGACCCCGAAACGGTCCACCTCGTGTTCTCATCCACGTCCCTTTCTCAATCCAGGTTCCTTCATTCTATCCTTGGTTACAAAGGGGGTGTCCGGGCGCAAAATAAAAGTGTAGCCCAGAGGGCGTGGCAACCTCTCTAAACTACAAGCTGTACTCGTGTCGGCGTCGGGTCGGCATGGGCGGCGGGTGCCTTATCAGCGGCACACGAGGGTTAGGGTACCAGATCCTGTCTGCATAGACGGGGGAGGGTGCATAACCATCTGAACTACGGGGTAGCATGCACACAGAAGTGTTCCAAAATTCAGCCCATGTACCAATGGGAATGGATTCGTAGTGGCACGTGGCGACGCCCTTGGCGGGAACTTAGAGAAGAGGCTGTCTTCTACCTGTGACCTTCGCACGAAACTTGCGTATGACCACCGTTATACACCCGGCCTCACGGGATACGGCGGATCGGCGGCAGCGTATAATATGCTGGAAAGTCCCTCGAATGCGTGAGTATTGGCGGATGGGAACGGGTAGTGAATCGGTTGCTCCTACTCGAGTATGCTTTGCACTTAGGTGTAGGCTGAGCTCGATTGGAGGCTTTTACCGTAGGCGGTATTCCTCTAGGGGGTGGTGAGCAATTCCACTTTAAACGAAACCGCGGCCGGAGCGGATCCGGTAGTTTCTACGCTAAAGAAGCCCCAATTCTCTGAGAGATAGTGTGGCCTTCTCTATCTAGGGAGTGCGCGGGAGACCGGGCTGATGTATTTCGGCTTAGGTAGCCCTTTGCGCGCGGCATACGGTCTGATGCTCAATGCAGACCCGACCAATCGGAATGGGCAAACGGGGAGCGAGGTTGTCTTGGCCCTTCGGGCTGAGCTGCCTCTACACCAATGCTGCGGCAGTAACACCATTCTGTCATATGTGGAGGTGCGTCACCTCTCATTTTGAGAATCAAAACGTCCGATAAGGCCGAATAGGCTAGGTGCGGACGTTAAAGATCTTCATTGTCCTTTTTAGGACGACCGAGTATACGGGAATGTTCTGTTCTGGCTACATGAGGTCACATCACATCCTGATAACAAATTACTTTGTTCTCGAGAGCGGTTGTTTCTGGGCCAGAGCAAAGGTACGTTGAGTTGACTTCAGTAGATTTTTGTGGAGATGGTCTGGTTGAGTTTGTTGGTGAATGGGACAGATCATTTGGTGACAGCCAATGGTACGTTCTCCTTATATTCCTGGAATGGAAGGCAATTGTTAATAAGCTGAGGCTTGTAGATTTATGAGAAAGGAATCTTCCCACGTCGATGTAAGCTAGGTGTATAAGGTTTCATCGATTATATACATTGAACACTTTGACAAGCTATTTTCACACGTATGACTCGAATCAAGCTCGATAGCGTCCCTCATAGTTTTCATTGAAGAAGGTCTACCAGACCGCTGTTCTTCAATCTCCTCATTCACAAAAGCAAACTTTTTAAACCACTTTTGTGTAGGGAAGCAACGATAAATCATATATATCTATATATTTCTATCGATATCGATATATTTTCCACGACATATCGGTGAAGCCGATATATAGTTTTCGATATATCGGTTTTCCGATATATTGATTATATAGATTAAAGATTGCCATCCCTACTTTTGTGTAATGCGCTTAGGGATGGTTACTTATTAATGTGTCCAACAGAGACCCAAATGGACTAAGAAAACCCCCAATTTGGAACTGGACACATGAGTACTCTTGAAAGACCCCACCAGCTCACCGTTACTTTGGTAAGCGGGGCGAGTGGTGGAGTTACATCCGGGTAAGGACGGGGTGGTTCGAGTGCTAAAGATCAAAACCCCTAAGGGCGAATTCTGTCGACCTGTTTCACGCGTAACACAACTACTTCCGAATTAAAATTAATAAATTTTAACTAACTAAAATTTGGTGGGCGGTATGTTTGAGCTCGTGCATTTTGCTTAATAATGAGAAAGAATTTTATTTTATAATTTACAATGAACTGTTCAAGACACGTTTCCTTTGAGAACTGACGCATTATCCTCTTGGTGTTACGTTATGTAACACTTAATCCCCCATGCAAATAGAAAAGTTGATTATCGGTATTATAATAATAATAAATGAAATACCGCACGAACTATTACTGTTACCTGGCAAGATCGGAGTGGATTATATGATTATAGGAGCGTTAACTAATGTTCTCAGGACTTTAGATTGTAAAACTTGGATACGGTTAAGAAACGTTTTGCTGTATAGTCTTCTTGGCAGAGATAAGAAATCTTCGTAACTTAGCTTTTGGATCTACCTACAATATACAAATCATCGGCATAACCAAGATGTTGAACAATTCAACGATAGCAGGGTAATCTAGTTTCCTCCTTTTTCTGTTCCAAAGCCATCAGAATGTACTTTCTTGTTGTTCTACTACTAGTTTAGTACTACAATTACTACTACTGATACAGCGATACAAATAGATGGATGGATATCGTATATTCTCCAGAATTGTGCGAGAACATTTGATCTGTCGTGGATTTCTCTGGTTGGAATCTACTCTGATGCTTTCCCAGAGTATTTTCAACATGAAAATGCAGAATTTGTACAATAAATTTAATATTTAGTCAGAAAAGAAGAAATATAATGTAAATGTTGTCTCTCTAGAAGTACCGTGAGGGAATTTCTAATAAATTAATGCAGGCCGTTGGTTGCACACTGCGTGCTAGTACGATTTCATCCCAGGAGGCATGTGATGTTTGACTAATTTGGAGTGGAATGACTCATATCGGGATCGGGCGTCTGTCAAACATACAAGGGAGCGTTAACTATTGTTGTAAGATGTTAAATTGTAGGACTGGGATATGCTAAGGTTGGAACGTTTCGCTACACTTCAATTCAATACGTCCATTTGTATGCATAGTTTTTTTCTTGTTTAGTAGCGTTAGTTTGAATCATTCGCCGAGTAACCTTTTCAACATTTTATATCTTGGGTTTCAGTACATCCTTAGCCGAGTGTGGGGTTCCATGTCAGTCGTTTGTCTAGGTAAAGTCCAAGATATTTCAATTGGTTCGTATTTGGGATAGGAATATTGTAAAAAGAAAATAATAAGAAGATTTTTCTTAAATGAAAGTTTAGATTTTTGTTCGTTTCCTTTATTTTTGAGCCAGGGTCAAGGGCTTTGTAGATTACGAATTGCTGTATCGTAAGCGACGGTTATTGTTTCTAGGAGGGTCGGTAGGTAAGCAGAATACATTATGCATACAAGAGGAGCAAGCGAGCTCCCGTGCGGGACTCCTGCTCGAACAGGATAAATGAAGAAAGAAAGGATCTTTGACTGACGTCTAAATATCGGAGAGATACGATTTAAAGATTATGTAATAGGTAGCAGGTAGGATGCCCTTTAACTTACACAGCAGCACCAGCTGACTTTGATACATCAAAAGCTTGACCTATACCCAGGAACATTTTGTAAAAGATAGTTCTACTTACAGATTCGAAGTAATTCGATTTGACAAATCTGTGAGTACAACCATCTTTTACATAAAATGAAGCTATATACTCACCCTACTTTCATTATTTCTATATATCCAGGAATACACCAAGGCAATACTGCCTGGTGAAAAGACGGATGGGAACTTCGGAACTTAACTGATGTTCGGGAATGGTATTTTTTCCTAATAAGGTACACCTAAGAAGCTTTTTGGAGTTAGGAAGAATTTTTTTTTTTTTTTTTGCGTTTATGTAAAATGTCGGTTGGTAAATGCTTGAGCTTCTGCACAAGTGAGGATTTTCAAAATCAATTATTTTTTTAATGTAATTTCGATTAGCAAACACTTGCAATATAACTTTGTAATTAAAAATTAAAAAAGAAGTGCAATATTAAGATCCCCTATATTGTACTGACTTTCAACCATCAGAATAAACCAATTTAAATAATAAACAAATTTGGTCGAATTATTTGTATTATTCTGCTGTTTGATGTTATGTGTTGTCTGTTCCACTGTTCTAGCTGTAACACCCGAAAATTATGAACATCCATCCAACATCATAATTTTTTATCTTTTTCAGTAAAATTTAATAATTTAAGTTTAAATCAAGCAGCATTATTGTCAAATTTGTACAAATGTGTAAAAAGCACAACTTACAATTAGACAAACATTTAAGCATTAACGACTGAGTCAAACGTGACTGATAAGTTATCATGGATAACCAGCAAAGAGGTTACACTTGTAAACAATTATAGCTATATTTGTACCAGATCTATTTGTAAACAAAACTGTTGATTTGGACGAAGTTTTGTAACAACAGAACTGATGATTTAAGTCGAAATGGTTCGTGTAATGATTAAAGGCAGGGACGCTTTTGTTTGGAACGCCGAAGGTATTGTTTCGCCTCCCTTTGTACTATTTTAATTTAAAAAAATATATATATGTATTATTACCATTTGCAATTTCAGATTGGATGAAGTTAAGACAAAAGCATAGAATCATAGGAAATCTTGTAGGATGCCTTGCTCAGGTACCGAGGCAAGATGTCGAGAATGGCCTTCCGATGAAGCTCCTTCCAGAAGAGGTGACGCTTATCAAAGAAATGAATATTGGAGAACTGTTCGCCTATGTAAATCCAAAAGCTCCTCCGACAGAAGAAACTAAAAAGAAATTCAATGAATACAATGAAAGAATAAAAAAAGAACAGGTAATGGTTGTTAGTCTACTGGATTGTTGTATTGAAACACTACATTTGGATGATTGTACTCCATTTTACTTCATGTTGTAAATGAATTTATAGCTTGTAATTACTGCAAAGTCTACAAACACTAGCATGCCTTAACATACCATGCAATGCATACATGACCCCACAACATCACTGGAAAAAACACTCAATCTCCCACAGCTTTTGAGAGTGCCAATAGATCCTGAGTTACAAAGCAATAAAACCTGATTAAAGATAATTTCTCACAATTCTGGAGAGAATAAAAATAAATGTGATGACCTGACAAAATAAGGGGAAAACTAAATTTTGACCCTTTCAAGTGGACATAGATAACAGAGATCTTTAAAAGAAAGGCAACCCTAATTTTCAAGAAGGGGCCATAATTTGGTATATTGATGAATCAAAGATGGAACAGGGAATGGTAGTAGAAGTAAAAGGACTGAATTAACCCAAGCAAAGACTGATTCAAACAATCTTCCAAGCTAAGGACCATTAATCCAAGCGCTTTCAGACAGCAATAAAAGCACTAAATACATATGCTCTTAGCTCCAAACTAGTCCGGTAAAGCCTAAAAACGTGAGTAGCTTAAGGTGGGTTCCAGTATGCGAAAGTATAGAAGGAAACGAACAGGCTGACCAATTAGCCAAAGAAGGGACAGCCCTTACACCCATGGTACCAGAACCAGAACTAGGTACACTGGAGAGTGTGCTAACGTTGAATTTGGCAAAATGGCTTGTGAAAGATAAACTCAAGCACTGAACAAAACCTCCAAGAATAAGGCAAGGATAGATTTATAAATTTGTCAAAAAGGAGGATATCCCTTGCTCTCAGAAAGCAAGATTTTAGGGAAATTATAGGCTTCTATACCCGCTATTGCCATCTTAACATCCACATAAAGAAGATGGGCAAAGCGGAACAGAAACAAGCTGTTAGGAGAAGCATATATTCAGGCATTTTGAAGAACTTGTGAATCCTCACTTAACATTCACAACCCTGACTAGTTATGCTGAGGCTTTGGTCATTTATTAATTTCTAGAAAAAATTTACTTGACAAACAAACTGCATCTGACAAATTGGGAGCCTCTCAATTACACACTATAAAATCATGATTAAACTAGTAATCAAAATTTTAAAAGTATAATGCAGAGGGCACCATGAAATATCATGGAGTACACTCAAAATATGTACTGGGGCGTTGGTGGCTGCAACGGTTTAGGCGTTGACATGGCGCTCATTACTGTAATGTAAAGGTTCTGGGTTCAAATCCTGCAGCCCTACATTCGAACTCGACATACTTACAAATTTTTTTACAAAAACATCGGGTTGAAATACCCTCATTAAAAAAAAAAGTACAGTTTCAACAATAGAACATAATCCAGTTGACACTCAAAACAGGTAACAATAAAATTTAATATGTTTTTCAATTTTAGGTTGATTATTATGAACAAAAACGAAAGCAAGATGTCCTCTCCATGATAGACATAATTGTTGAAGGGAAACGGAGAAAATTATTAAAAGGTGATCAAGAGGTTGTAATCGAAAAGGATGAAATTTTAAAATCTGAACTGGAAAAAACCAACACAAGTAATTTGCAAGCTGGTGTCAACGTTCAAATCCCGACTGGTAAAGCAGTTTTTAACGTTGAAGTGATCTTTTAAAAATTTGTACGCTTTATTTTAGAACACCCTTGGTTTAAGCTGGAAGACTTCATCCCTGCTGAATGGACCTACCCGGAATCGCCGCTGGAAAAGCTCAAATACAAAGTCTTCAAAGATCTTTGGGGAAAAGGATACTATATCACAATGGGAACAAAGTTCGGAGGGGACTTTCTCATCTACCCAGGCGAACCGCTCAAATTCCATGCTTTTTTCATAATATTGTGCGCACTTGAAAACCAAAATTTACCACTTACTAAATTAGTCACACATACGAGACTTGCTACAATGACCAAAAAGACTTTCGTAATTGCGAGTGAGCAAGAAGGCCGAATTTTCTATTCCAGTTTTCAATGGACTGGCATTATTTAAATATACAATTGTGTTATTTTAAAGCTAAATATTATGAATTGTTTGATTATATTTTATTTTATAGTTATGTTTTACTGTAACAATAACATTAATTAATAAAGCATTGATAATTAATCTCTAATTTTGTGAAATGTTTTGTAACTTTGTTTTATAAGGACTTTTGCTAAGTGTACGGGCTGGCTTCATACAATCAGTATTAAAAAAAAAACTATGTGGAAAAAAAGATTTGTTCATCTGTAAACATCTTAAAAATATCTGTTATCGGTGACGTAAATCCTTATCACAACTGAAACCGTCTTTAAACTTCAACTTGACGTTTTGGTATTTTTGCTGTTTGTCTTTTAACTTTTTGGATATCACATTATTCTTAACTCTGCCGAAATAGGTAAGTCGTTTCATTTAAATTTTTTAATCCGATTGAAAAGAATTGTTTCAATGTATTTTGCTCTAATAAAAAGGTTATCAGGCGCTAAGTATAAGCCAAAACTCCAGGGCAAACTTACAAGCCACTCTGTTTTTGTTTACTGAATTTAGAGAAATTAAACAAGTTAACGTTCAAGATATGAGTTCAAATAGGAGTTTAGTAGTCAACTTACAATAGTCTTTACAGCCTGCGCACCGCAACTAGTATTGGTCTATTATTGTTGTCAAGAGCTCCTCAAGCATAGGCTTTTTGTCATATCCCAAAGCTTTTGCAAGGACTCCCGTGGGCACCCTTCAGGCCTGGGCTTTTTCTCTGCCAGGAGGACTCTTTGGTGCTACTCTGTCATAGCTCATAGCAAGTGAGTCACGGTAGTTTAAGTCGTTAGAGCAGCGGCATATTGAGTGGTCGTGGATTCGAATCCTGCTCATGACACTAATGTTTTCATCTCAACCAAGACCTTATTAATTGAAATAATTACTGCTAACCGGCTATGGAAAAAAGTTAATTTGTTTAAGCTGTAGGGCTAGGGATAAAAGAGGCAGCCACAAGGCTTACTGCACCTCGACCTGAATAGATCTATTGTGCTCCCATGTTATTTATAACATAGCTTTGCCAGCAGCACCTTAGTGTAGGATCTTGCTTGTGGTTTTTCTTGTCCTAGTTGCAAGAACCTGCACCTACATAGACCTTCACAGAAACGTAAAATGTGTTCTGCGGTCTCCTCCTCTTCCTGGCAGTATCTGCACAGTGTTTGTCCTATCCGGTGCATGTGCCTTCTTAAGTGGCAGTGCTCTGGTAGGAGTCCAACCAGAATCCTGGTTTGGTTGTTGCTTCCAATAATAATTTTGTAAGTTTTGCAGATGGTTCTTCTAAAGGTTTTGGACTCATTAAGGATCCATTTTAAGATGTATCCTCTTTTTTTTAGGCCCTAAGATGAGTAAAGAATCATCAAAAAGGAATTCGGTGGTTCCACCTGACGATTCAGTCGGTTTCATAGGTGCTGGTAATATGGCACAAGCAATTGCTTTTCGTATGCTGGACTCCGGTAAGCTATAATCATTAAACTTTCAATATTTGAAATTAACAGTTAAAAAATATTCAGGCCTGGTGTTACCTAGCAACATGATAGTTTCGGCGACTTCAGATAGGAATCTCGAACTTTGGAAGCAGCGAGCTGTGTCTACTACTATCGACAACTGTGTGTTATTTACTATATCACATTGGCCTCAATTGACTGTACTAATGTTTTACATTTTTTTATTTCAGCTAAAGTTGTTAAAAATGCAACAATAGTTTTTATTGCTGTGAAACCGCAGTATTTTAAAACAGCAGCTCACTCAATTAGTAACATTTCAGATGCAAAAGTTAAATGTTTTGTTTCTGTGATGGCTGGTAAAACTCTCAAAAATATTTCAGCGGTAATTAGATTATATCAATTTCAAAAGGCAACCTTTAAAATATCAAATATTTAATTTCAGACTTTAGGACAAAATTATAAACATGCACATATTATCAGAGTTATGCCAAATACTCCATGTATGGTTGGAATTGGCTGTTCAGGTATTTTCATTGTTCTGCATTTAATTATTACAATTTTGTTGTCATAGTTGTATAATTTTAATTGTTTATAAATTAGTCATGTGTTCCATCAATAGTGATAGTAATTACAACAAAGTAGTATATAGCATCATGTCAAGTCTTGGATTGTGTGAGCAAATAGATGAAGTTCTGTTCAACTCTGTTTCTGGACTCTGCGGCTCCGGACCTGCATATGTAAGCACTATAACTTTTGCATTACTATTTTTTTTTTAATTTTTTTTCTCAAGATGTACATGGTGATGGAAGCTCTGGCTGATGGTGCTGTAAAAAAGGGTGTGACTAGAGATATGGCTATGAACATGGCGGCACAAGTGATGAAAGGTGCTGCAGAGATGGTCCTTTCGACGAAAAAACACCCGGGTTTACTGAAAGACGAAGTTTGTTCTCCCGGAGGCACAACTATCTGTGGTGTTGCCGAGTTGGAGAGAGGTTCTGTTAGGTACTGTTGTTACCCTATGGCAAACGCATTTTTAAAGAAGAAGACAGATTATTTCAAGTGGACTTACACATTTCAATTATTTAAATCTCTTGTTGTTTTTTTTCCTAGATCCGCTTTTATAAATGCCATCAGTGCTGCATCAGATAGAGCAGATGAACTAACAGCAGGAGAGTGAGATTAACGTTTTAACTTAGAAAATAAATTTCTAAGTAATGGCCAATTTAGTCAAATTTGAACAGGGATATTATTTTTGTTGAAAGATTAATTTTTTAATTAATTCTTATGAATAAAAATAAATAAAATTGCCTTTGTTTTTACTTAAACCTGAACATTTACTGGCCAACTGTATTCACAAATTGATCCGATTTCAAACACAATTCTTCATTGGTTCTTTTGATTTCTGACTTAAACTTATGTTTATTACTTTGTTTCACAGTTCTTATTTTTTTAGGTTAGTTAGTTTTATTTTATTTACTTTCTATTTAAATATTTTCCACTTAACACAAAAAACTTCCCTTCTAGACTCATATGAAAAAAAAATCCCGGGTCCCTTCCTGTATTTGTACTATGTAAACGCTCAGTTGGCAGGTGATAACACCATAATAAAAAATGATCTGATACCTGACATTGCTAAATGGTGAGGTAAGTGGAGAAACATCGAAAGTCTACAATAATCCAATTTACAAACCTCCAAAAAAATAACACAGCCTCTCCTTCACTACAACCATTTCCAGGTTCCTTGTCACAACAGTTTGATACCTACATCTTCATCTAGACCACAGATTGATGTGGGCTCATACAGTGCCAGGTAACCAAAATTCGTCACTGAATAAAAACATGAAAACTTTTTTTTTCTCAACTCAGAAAGCAACCTGTTCAAGACAGTCAGCATGATATCAAGTGAGGTACTGAGAGCATATCACACTCTACTCTTCACTTTTAGTTTCAAGTTCATAGAAGCAGTGTGCTGTTTAAGTTATTATTTTAAGCACTAGTGAGAGTGGTAAATTTAAAAAATATAACACCATTTACTATTTTAAGGAACAAACTTTTTTGATCTTCGGTCTAAAAGTGAAGGAACTAGAGCGTGATATGACGCTCGCCATCCTGAATAGGTTAAGGAGGTGGAATGCATGAGATATCTTAGAGGTTTGATTAGATCAAAAGTTTTTTTTTTTTGGATTAAGCATGTTGAAATGGTATGTCAAAAGGCTCCAGGTTTGATAACTGCTAAAAACCATCCAAGGTCTACTTGGATGTAACACCCTCAATATTATTTATGAGTTTTGTTTTCAAAACATTTATCACTCCACTTGGTCTGTCTAATCTCACGCAAGTTTAAATTTCACTTTTTTTTGCTCATGTAGGTCCTATACAATAGTTTTTGAGTAGGTGTTAAAAATAAATAAATATAAAAATACTGATAACACACCTTTATTATTTATAGATATGAAAATACATTGTAAGGTAAAGCCTGCAATGACTATCCAGTAGTTTACATCTGCATACGGTTTTAAAAATGAGTCAAATTTATTATATATTTTTTTAATTTCATAAGAATATAAATGTAAAAAATTTACGTTCAATAATTTCAAATGGAATAAAACATAAATTATTATTAAATGTATTCTTTAAATCTATTTTTAACTATTTGTAAGATGGACGATGGCGCTTTGCAGCATTGTGACTGCATAGCCTTCTTCTCCAAGGGCCTTTTCGACGGGCATGAAATATTCCATAAATGCCGCTTCGGCACATATGGAGGGAAGACCACTCATAAGAACCACTTGGCACAACCTTGGCAAGAGTTCGTCGGCACCCCTAACAAAAAATACGTATTTAAAAAAAAATTTTTTTTCAATAAAAAAAAAAATAATAAGTAAAAAAGCTTACATGGAAGTACAGTGTTTCTTGTCAAAATCGGAATTTGCGAGAATTCTGAATATGTGTACTGTACAGCTGAGCATGTCGTAAGGATTATGTAGGGTGGTGATATAATGGAGTTTTGTGATAGCTTCTTTGCAAGTTTCTGACAGTTCAAACGCTGGCGAAATGTCGGAGTCTTTCCTTAGAATATTTTCTTTGATTCTGTCATTCAATTTGCTCTCAACCTCTTTCAATCCAAGCCTATTTTAAAAAAAATTGCATATTATGGCCAGAAAAGCAATTTTCAAAAACATCTTTAAATAATAGAATACCTCAATAATGAAATGATTTCCTGTTTCAACTGAGAAAAATAGACGTGGAAAATTACTTCAGAAGTCAATGAAATATTTTTGTCTGTGTTTAGTGGTTCAAATAGTGCTTTTACCACTTCCAGGATTATATTCAAATCTGTCTTTATAGCTGAAAATAAAATATAGCAACTTGCCAATTTTATTTTATTCTAGGCATACCAAAGTAGAAATAATAAGAAAAAACGTTTATTGCTTTTGTTTATTAAGTGATTAGGTAGATCAATATTGAAGCCCAATAATTGTATCTCAGGTTGGCAAATAAGTTCGGTTGGTTTTTCCACTATGACAAGTTTACGCTGCTCTATCTACCTCGTTTTCACACTACCATCTAACCCCATTGTGCAATTGAAAGAACATTTTACAAAACATTTTAGTGAATTTTAGTTAGAAATACTTCAGTATTTTGGGTGTAACAAAATTTTCATGATGGAACGAAATACTAACTATTTTGAGGTGTTTTTTTACGAAATTTTTGTGACTGATTTGTCTTTTATAATTTTTTGGTTTTTGTTAAAAAAAAATTGTTTGTGGTTTTTTAAAGGAAATTTATTACTTATTTCTTTGGACGTTTTGAGAATTTACATCCACCAATAGCATCAAAAAGAATAAAAGAACAGCTTGGAAATATCAACATATTCACTAAGAGCTTAAAATTATGTAGTAGTTGGAAAGGAAAAAGAGGAACTGCTGAAGGGCTTGAAGATGAATGCGGGGCATGAGGTCGAGGCCACAGCCCACTAGAGGCTGAATACCTCAAGAGGTTGGTAATACGTCACAACCGCATGAACAGTAGCATACAAGATATAAAAGGTTTTGAGGACTAAGGGGTGTTGGAAGTAAAATGAATGTATACTCGCCAGAACGGGCAACCTGTCCCTTCGGTGAATGTTATCCTTACCTTTGACACTCCAAAATGCCCTAAAGAAATAAACGTGGCTTTCTAAAATTGAAAGTTCACCTTTACATCCCAACCTCCAAAGGTGTTTCCGTAGCCAGAAGTTTGACCATACCTACCTGTGGTATAAGCCCTTGCAGAAAGTGTGGGAGGGAAGTGCACCCAAAAGCCGCATTTAATTAAAAATTTTGTGGTCCACTCGACCAATTAATATATTACAATTAATTAAGGTTTTTAGTTGAGATAAAAAAGTCAATGGCACAAGCGGGATTCGAATTTAATGCGGACCACGAAATTAGTGAATTTAATGATTTAAAATGAAGTATACTTCACTAAAGCTCTCCATGGCCATTTCATTTGTCATCGAGAATCCAATCCGATTACACGACATTTGAAAAATGGCAAAAAGGAGGGAAAATTCAAAAAGTGCGGTTGAGATGGGAAGTTAGTGCCCGTTTGGATCAAGGTCACGATAGCTCAAGTGGTAGAGCAGCAGCGTATCTAGCCGATGATCGTGGGTTCGAATCCCGCTCGTGCCATTGACTTTTTTATCTCAACTAAAAACCTTAATTAATTGTAATATATTAATTGGTCAAGCGGACCACGAAATTAGTTAAGTTAACTTTAAAGTGAAAGCTAAGTGGAGTGCAGGGGTACTGCCGGACATATGCCCAAGCAGCAGCTCGTCCTGCTCTGAGGCTGAGGACCCCAGAACAAACCCTGGGCCAAATTAATTTTTTTTAAGTCAAAAGCGTTTCTGGAATATAGCACAAAATTTATTTTTTACTGTGAACTAATAAAAATAGTTTTTTTAAATTTTATGTTTTGACACTGCTATTAGAAAATTCTGGGTACTTTTCACAGCGCTAGTTTTTTCTTTTTGTAAAATTCCGTTCCTCTTTACATATCCTGTTCTGTGTTAACTGGAACATGTATAGGTAATCCATATTTAGGAATTACATAGGGCATCTCCAATGAGACAAAGATATGCTTAACAGTTTACCCCAGCAGTTCCCAAACCTTTTCTGTTTCCAATGCCCTTAATATAATGGTCTATTTCAGCATGAACTTTATGATAATAATAGTAATTCATTTCCAATTCAGAAAAGCATTGATATATCTAAACCTCTTATTTTGTCTGCAATTTAATAAATAATCAAAACTCCTGATTTTTTTGTGAAACTGAACAACTTGCCTTTTGAAAAGTGATTATGCACTTAATAGCAAAAATATAAAGGCAAACCCCCGCGCTTCTGAATACACAGTAGCCACTCAAAGAATAACAAATGCCAAAAACCCGTTGTTTTTTTTTTTTTTTAATTCTCAATTGTGGCTTCTTTAATGATTTTTCCATCAAAATTTTCGGAAATTTCACTGAAGTTGCCTTATTCCAAGGACATACTCACTTTTACCTTTTTTAAAACTTTCCTTAGAGAAATGTCCTTTACAAGATTGGGAGGAAAAAAAAACCAGCAACCCAAGATCATTAAACATGTCATTTTTTAATAAAAGCCTTTATTTAGTTGGTAACAAACCCTATAACACTGTATATATTAAATATTTTTTCAATTTAACTCATGGGGACCATGGTAGCCAAGTGATTAGCATGATAGACTCTCAGCTCTAGAACCCGTGGTCGTGAGTTCGATTCCCACCGTCATCCCTTTTCTCACAACCCCCCCCCCAAAAAAAAAGGATATGCGTCGTATATGAAATATAATGCCCTTGGCTAATATGCAGAAAAAAATATAAAATTCAAATTAAATAATTCATTAAATTCACTAATTTCATGGTCCACTTGACCAATTAATATATTACAATTAATTAAGGTTTTTAGTTGAGATAAAAAAGTCAATGGCACGAGTGGGATTCAAAATTCAAAAGGGGAGGGGTTGAGATGGGAAGTTAGTGTCCGAGTGGATTGAGGTCATGATAGCTCAAGTGGTAGAGCAGCTGCGTATCTAGCCGAAGATCGTGGGTTCGAATCCCGCTCATGCCAATTACCTACTTTTTTATCTCAACTAAAAACCTTAATTAATTGTAATATATCAATTCGTCAAGCGGACCACGAAATTAGTGAATTTAATGATTTAAAATGAAGTATACTTCACTAAAGTTCTCCGTGGCCATTTCATTTGTCGTCGAGAATCCAATCCGATACACGACATTTGAAAAATGGCAAAAAGGAGGGAAAATTCAAAAGGTGTGGTTGAGATAGGAAGTTAGTGTCCTTGTGGATCGAGGTCACGATAACTTAAGTAATAGAGCAGCGGCGTATCTAGCCGAAAATCGTGGGTTCGAATCCCGCTCGTGCCATTGACTTTTTATCTCAACTAAAAACCTTAATTAATTGTTAAATAATTCAACTCATAAAACCATAAACATAATTGCCAACCCAATAAATGGTACAAATAAAACTAACCTTCTATAATTGAATCAAAGGATTTCATGATATCTTTGCCTTCAGCTATTGAATTCCTCTTTGCCAAGTCAATCATATGTTCCACCTTTTGTTGCATTTTATTCATAGTTGCTTTTACTGGATGTGAGTTGTCAGTAAGAACATTTTCCAATACATTCCTTTAAATCAAACAATAAATCATAACATTATATGGAGTGAACATTGACTTCAAATTAACACATTTTTATTATTAACTTTAATGTTTTGTTTAATAGAAATTCAATGTTACAAATGCCAATAAATGTAATGAATTTCAAACCATCTTCCAGTTAAACTCAATTACAAATTTACTTATATTGTTAATTTGGTCATTTTCGATCATCCATGTTTGCCTGTCCTAGCTCCTTTGGTCTTCTGGTCAAACTCACCACAAACCACCAATGACAAAACCAGTAATAATAAACAAACAAAGATGATCAGAAACTATCCAACTAAAGTTTTATCACCCTGGAGTTTTCCACATGAAATCTTACAATTTATACTTTTACCTACTCATGTATACTTGTTCACCTGTTCTTGTGGTAACTTTCAATGAGACAAAGTGTGGCATTTTACTGAGTTTTTACAGAATACAGCAAGAATAGGTGAGCAAGGATTAACACACGACAGATAACTTTGTACACACCTGACTATCTTAGTGTTATAGGGGTACAGAAAAAGCTCGAAGGCCATCTGTGTGATCCAACTGCTTCCATGATTGAACTGTAGAGAGATTGCAAAGAGTCGTTGCATTTTAAAATCACTGTCTGTAAGCCTTCCTTCTTTTAGTTTCTCATCGATGCAAAACTTCAGATGGGCGGTTTCCATCGCCCATGCTGTCGCTTGCATGAGTCTGTTCCTCGTGATGGCAGCTTTCTCAACGAGCTCCCTTGCGAGTTCAAGTTCGAGGTTCTGTTTCTCCACAGTGCTACTCGCAAGATTGTATCGCCTGTGGTACTGCGCCATGAGTTTCTGTTCTTCTAAATCTGATTGACTGAAAGGCTTTAAATTTGGTGGTGGTGTATCAATGTTGTCTTCTACTTCCGGCAGGATTGGAGCAGAAGGATGTGAACGATTTACATCTCTTTCAGGCTCCGATTCTGTAAACAGTTTTTTCAAAATGGAATATGTGGAATCATTTTCATTATTTGGGGGGAGGATGGATAAGAATAGAATATAAAGCCAGACCAACCATTGAAGAAGTTTTGACAGATGAAGCCAATGTGAATAGACTTAATTTAATAATCGAGACGACCAGGCTCACAAGTTCATCACTACTGTTTCACAATTATTAAATGTCTAATGAGTTCTTTGCATCCTTACACTATTTCTAGTAGTCCTTAATCTTTTACTAGAGCATCCCATTGATAAAAATAAAATTAATCAAAAGTAAATATATGACATTTAAATCATCTAGATAAAACCACCAATTACGGGAAAATTTATAATAAACAAGATTAATCAACAACTGTGATAAAACTTACAATAAACAATGAGCATTTTTATCATTAAGATTATTGATAATCTTATTTCTTAACATTGATATCAGTGTATATCAACCTTTGTGCTTGATAGGACAAAAATAGCAAAACATTGGTTTTTGCAAATATCAGTTTTATGTCATTACATTTGATCTATAATTAAGAATAATCCTATGAAAGACATACATAAGGAAAGAAGGCATATCTTCCTAGGATTTACAAGTTCCATTGTCAAAATACAGTAAAGACAAGCTCCTGTCGTTATTGATCATCCTGGTCTGCCTAGACTCGATTTTTTGTTTTCTCAGAAGTGTTTCAACATTTCATCATCTTCAGTGTGCATGTTCCTTTCTGACTTGATTTTACAGACAACACCCAGACCCAACACTCCAGATGTTGAGAGAAAGACATCTGACAGCCAGGATAGACACACCGAGATGACCGGTAAGGATCAAATTACAGGTTTGTCAGTCTGCAGACTCAGGTGGGATGGCTCAGCACCCCAAAACATCTTCACACCAAAAATTTCACAGTCTGAAATCTAGGTATCCACAACGCGAAATAGTTTTTCACACAGTAGAAAGCCAGCTTTAGGAAGTCGGAAGTAAGGAGATGGAGAGGAAAGCGGAGTACAGAAGAAAGTGGCTTTTGGTTCTTGATGAGGCACAGGCCCAACTACATCTCTAGTGTCAAACAGTAACTAAATATCAATACCTTCTTTTTGCAGCAGTTTGCAGACTCTGCCAACGCTCTGCTTAGCGAATTCAATTAGATTACATTTGTCCTTTATCGTCAGATTGCATACAGATGTGTCTTGTTTCAAAGATTGTACGACTAGCAACAGGCTTTCGACATAGAACTGATACGCTTTCTGAAAACAAAAATCATGTTTTAAAACATAAATATATAAAGCACAGAAATTAATATCGAAGTGTTTGTCAAACAGACATCGTCCTGGTCGGTCATTTCGCAGTCTATCGCTGAATGGAGGTTCTGGACGATTTCTTTTCTTGTCATCGGGTCGATCATCTTGACAACGGACAACCAAGACTTCAACAAAATTCAAACTGTCACTAAAATGAGGGACCATCGGGTAGGTTTCCAACCGCCAGCTCTAAACGGCTCTTTGGCCGTTAACTTTTGAAAACTAATTTTCTATAAAAATAAAATCCTGAAATGAAAAACTGCAAAGGTTTTTGTCTATTTCTCTTTTAATTTATTTATTTTTTCATCAGAGCATAACTTTTTTGAATTTCAATTTGAAATGACAGTGAAAGGACAAAAGTCAAAAGTTGGCAACTCTGTTGTTTGTCAAGGTTTCTTGAGATTAAAATTCAAACTTTGGAGTTTGGACTTTGGAGTTTGGACGTTCGACTCAAGTATTCTTGGGAAAACAGGGTGACTTTTTTTCTGCGATTTTTTTTAATATTCAACGATTTGTAAATGGACAAGTTTGACCAGTCAAATCGGACACTATTGGAAAAGCGTGTCGACTCAGGAATATCAGAGGAGGATGCAAAAAACGTAAATTGAACCAACTAGTTTTGACCTATGTTTCCTAGAACTTTGAAAGGGAAAAGTCCCATTAAAATAATTTTAATAAACAGATATAATAATTTTTATATTTTTTTTATAAAAATATATGTATAAGAAATTAGTTATATAGAAATGCTTAACTAAATGTTTGTAATTTGATTATTACCGATCATCTTGGTACCTCTGCCTTCGCTGGGTTGATCCGTCATAAATGTTTTGGCATTTTGACATCTTGAGTATTTGATCTGTGCAATTTCTGTGATGTCATGTCAGAAGAAAACAAACTGAAGATGGCAAAATGCCGAAACGCATCTGGCAGACCAACCCAGCATGGATAGGCAGACCAAAGGGTCAATAAGGACCAAATTACAAGTTCACCAATCTGTAGACGACAAGAAGAAATCTCATGATTTACTAATTATTTGTGTAGGTGAATAATTTAATGATGATGATCAAAGATTAAATAAGGGTCAACAAAATGTGCAAAGTAAAGTTGTCACCAAGCTTTTAACATATGCATATAAGGGTTTATATACATTATATATATTATATTTATTTATATATATTATATATAATAATTATTATTATTTATATATATTATATACATATGTATTATATACATTAAGGGTTTTTTTTTATCGGTTTCTGTCCCATTCATTATATATATATATATATATATATATACTAGTTCCATGACAATGACAGACAAAGCACGGTCCAAACCGTTCGATCTGAAGGGCTGAAATTTCGACAGCGCATTCCTATAATGCTATGGGTAGCTGCTAAGAAAGGACTAAAATTCCATCCCTAAGGTGATCATGTGGACAGTATTTTACCATGTATAGACCAAAATGGACTGAAATAGAGAAGAAATTGAGAAACGAGTCATTATCGAAAGCCATACTAGTCACTCTACATCACATTAGAAAGGTACATTAAAACAGAGTCCCACGTGGATGGAGTCGCGGTTAAAAGCTAGTATTAAATTTTAGTTAAATTTTAAACACAAAATTAGATGTAAAAAGCTGATGTCACGGATGGGATTCGATCCCACTGTCTACAAAATTGTACCTTGACACTCTAACCATGCCTGAGCTACCATGACTTCAATCTTCTTGAACAATAAAAGGGAAATACATAAAAACTATATGTTGAGATAAAGAGGTTGATGTCTTGTAAATTGGCAGTGGCTCAGGTGGCTAAATTGTCAGGATACAGTTCGGAAGACTATGGGTTTGAATCCCATCCGTAATATGTATATATGTCATGATTTTCTCGAGATTCAGTGTACTTTTTTAGTGAAACTCCATCATCAAAGAATGAATCGGTAAAACTGAAACCTTTAGTTCCAATGTTTCATGTTATTTTTCTTTTCTTTTTCGAAGCTTTTCACTTACATTGTAAGCATCTTCAGCTTTGTATTATATTATAATTTTAAGAGAAATGAAAGAAAAGAAACCAACAAACATGGGGACATTCTCTGTTATTATCCTCAGGTTAGTTGGTTACTTTTCTTTCCATATAAATTTTAATACAAAATTGTATAAATGCTGAAAATGCTTGTAATGTAAATGAAAAGCTAAAAATAAAAGCTTCTCAAAATACTATTTGCCAGATCGAAATTCACACTCAAACGAACGCCTCATTTACACCTCATTGCTAAAAACTAATGTGGACATATGGAATCGGGTACAACCAAGCCTTCCAACCTCCAAAAGAATCCAGACCATCCTTTGAACCACTGCTCAATAATTAATTACTATCCATACGGACTTCCAAATCCCATTTCTTCTAGAAATAGCAAGAAGACAGATGCCTTCATAAAACTCTAGACCCTCATTCCAACCCCCTGGTCTAACACCTTTCACCCTGAACCCTCCCCTACAATCCTCTAAAACACCTAAAGCCAATGGCCTTCAAATTCCTCTCTATTGAGGAAAATGAATAGTGCTGGGATAGGAATGAATTAATGGATTATTTCTCCAATTTTTGTAATGTTATAACAGAAGCCCATGGTTGTTTGGGTGTTCAATTCATGTTTGTTAAGTTACCCTGGGTTCGAATCCTGGCCCCCTGGAGTCCACGACACCAAATCTTCATAAATTGTAAAGATGGTAAATATTGTATGATAAGAAAGTTACCATCTATTTCATAATGATCTATCTTCAGTAGGTTCAATAGAAAGCATGATAAGGTACAGAGGTCAGAAATATTCATTAGAAATCAGTGCAATTATTAAATCTCTATCCAAATATTAATTCTATATAAGATTTGTATAATTAATTTAATTGGCTAAATTAGCCAATCGTTATTTGCCTTCGTCAAATACAATTTAATAACAACTTTAATCAAACCACTTTATTTTATCATAAAACAAATTAAAAATTTTCTTTTAGCTTTTTAATCCAAGTAAAAATAATGGCTAATAGATTAGTTACATTAAAAAAATAAAAAATAAAAAAAAAAAAGTTAAAAGATGAACATTAGAAGAACTGCTGTGATATATTATATTGCATTTTACTTTGCAACATACATTTTGACTAAACTTTTAAACTATAAATGGCAGGATAATTTGGCTTTAGTACATTTCAACAAGCTGAACTATCTTAAAACAATTAATGATTAATGATTGAAATGTTTGAATGCATGCTCTCCTTCAAACAACACTTTCATTAGAAAGTGTAAAATTTAAAAACTATTTGTCATTGAAGATGCTAAAATGTGCCTAAAATATAGGACCATCGAGACAGGCCAACCAGGACGTTTCAAGATGTGCAAGCTCTTATTTGTTTTAAATTGATTTTGTAATAATTTATTTTAAATTAATTTTTTTACAGTCACACTATGTTTAATTACTCACCAAAGACAAACTTCAAACAAAATCTTTTAAGTCTTTTCTCTAAAATGTATATAACTACCATATTCAAGGATTTTAGTATATCATAAATTATGATGGGGACTGTGGTTGTTGAGTGGTTAGTATGCCAAACTATCGGCTTGTAGTCCCTGTGTAGTTTAGCTTCAATTCCCATTGTTTCCCCTTCCCCCAAAAATACAATAATAAAGTAGTAAAGCCCATTCTTTGGCTAATAGTGAGAAATAAGTTCATTAAAAAATTAATATATTGAAAATTGTTAGGTAACATTAGTTACCTTACATACAAACATTAAAATTTCACCACTATTTAGATTTAATGTACAGCATACCTATATATTTAATATTTATGTTGTTTTCTTAATTAACTTTTAATTTAAAGGTTTTGTTCAAGGTAATAGAATTGGACAGCTCTGGGATAGTTGATATGAGTGATGATGACCAGTGGGAAGACCTGTCTGATGACTTTAAAATGACTTTTGTTGTCAACACCTCTTTAGATATGAGCAATGGAAAGATTGCTTCCCAGGTGAGATATGAATTTGTTCGTTGGTTTCTACCTAGTTTAAATCAAAATTTCAGGTAGCACAAGCCGCCTTAGGACTTTACCAACAGATATCCTCTTGCAAGTTGGGAATTATCCAAGTCGAAATGTGGCAACAAAAGGGGTAAATGAGATATAACTGCAATAGAGTTATGTGGTAATTAATTAATTTGTAGAGAGAAGAAATTTGTTTTGCAAGTCGGTGGAACAGAAAACCTGCTAGAATTAGAGAAGAAAGCAGTGAATGCTAACGTATCAAATCTTTTGGTGAGAGACGGCGATTCTGTTTCAGTCTTGGCATTATTTGGTTCAGTAGGAGAAGTGGATAGTGTGGCTGGTGATTTAAAATCATTGTGAATAATGATTGTATTGTTCTTACACTGGTTTTGTATGAAATGTAATATTATTTTGTGAAATTACATTTCTGCATAGATAAACAAAGTATATTTCGTATTTCTTTTTGATATGGCAAATTTATTGAATTCACCTTTTCCTTTACACTATATTAATAATTTGTCTAAAAAAGAACAATATATTCCCTGATACAATTTTGTAATTCAAGTGATATAAATAATTGATAAAGTAAAATCATTTTTCCTTTTTTGCACCATACATTGAAGTTTGGTAAATCCTGATCATTTTGGTCTGACTATCTTTTGTGTTGCTATGTCAAATGTGTTTTGGCTCTGCTACTCTTTCACTGCTCAGTCTTTGTCTGATTGAAATTAGAGAGAAGATGAAGAACCATGCCTGATGTTCTGATGATGATATGACCATACTGCAAGTACATCGCCTCAAGATCGAAAAAGGAAATCTAACACAATATATTGGGAAAAAGTAATGAAATCTGAAAATATTTAACTGAACTATGTTATATTCACTCAAGATAGCCTTCCTTACAATAATTATGATTTCATTTTTGTTTTGTTTTATAAATGTGAATAAAACGTAGTAATTGTACTAAATTGAAATAGGCTAGATTTTCTAATTTTTTAATTTAAAATTACTTATAATTAACGGATGTCAAGGATTACTCAAGTCATTAGAATCTGTATGAACTAAATACATTGTGTAGCTGTTTAAATGAGCTATAATAAAATATTTTCCAAACTTTATATTGTTATATTATCATGAGTGGACCATTGTTGTATCATCACTTCAGTCATTTGGGTATTTACGGAGCATTGTCAAAGGTGCCGAGGACTTTGCATTGGAAGGACTATAATCATTCTTTGGATGATGGAAGGTTTAGCAGTTCCCCATTAATCTAAGTTGATACGTGCAATTTTTCTTGGTAATTTGTATAGTAGTAATGCCCAAAGGAGTCACAGTTTAGTGAGCTATCATGCAGAGGCATTGATGAAAATCGTGGGTCAGAATCCCACTTGTGACTATAACTTTTTCATCTCAACCAAGACCTAATGGTGACTCCAGACATGCGGTATTCACCGAGCAACAATATTCGGTGCTCACCTTGCTGGGTTAATTGTCGGTTTCGTTGTCTGCTTCAAAGTGCACGAATAGTTGTGAAGTAACCAAACTCAAAGCATACACATATTTGGGAACTGTACTGTACATATACCGACTGTAATCGCCAATCAACAGTATTTATTTTTTGATAATAAACAATTCCTAACTAGTAAGATGTACTCTGTGACTGAGTTTGTAGTCACTACAGTACCGCAGCTGCAGCAATGACAGTTTCACTGTTGTCCATCACGGTTGGTAATAAGTCAAGGACTCGCATGGCACTTGGCAAATACGAATTCGCTGTATCAGCACAAACTGGGTGGTTTTACGAACCTTGCATGTGTGTATACATAGGTACTCTATTTGGTGAATGCAAGACAAGCATCTCTACCCTTGACAATTGTTCAGCAGCAATCAGCATTCAGCAAATACTGCAAGTCTGGAGTCAACTTTAGATAAAAAATATAGTTAACGTTTTGAATATAAATTTGCAATCTTTTCTTTATCGATTCAGACTTATTAGTTGGTCTTCTGTGAACAATTTCATCCATGATTTAAAAAAAAAATCCAGAGTATTACAATTTTTCTAAAAGCTAAAATGAAGAAAAGGATTTCTGTCTCTATTTATTACACTTTTTCTTCCATTTACTGTCAATAAAACTTCTCCTATTCTTGATGGTTTAAAAATCATCCAGACTTAGCACTGAAGGTGGCAGAATGCCTAAAAACAATCTGACAGACCAACCCAGGAGGAAAGGCAGAACAATGATCATTAACTATCAAATTACAGATTTTATTAATAACTTTTTTAAATTATATTATTTGAAGTTTACGTTCTTGAACATGTACAGCATTCTATTTTATTCATAACTTGGTTCATAAATCCCATTGTCCGAGGGGAATCGAAGTCATGATAGCTCAATCAAAGACAGCTATTGAGCCGAAAGGTATGGGTTTGTATCCCGCTCGTGACACTAACTTTTCATCTACCAAAACCTAAGATAAAATGAATAATTAATTGGAATAATTAATATGGTCAATTGTGACCGCTAAGCAAATATAGATTTATTCATAACGTTTTTGAGCCCTTGACATGAACTCTGTTCAGTTTTGTTACAATTTATCGGGTGGATATCCCAACAATGTACAATTACAAGTTCATCATCTCACAGACAATAGGAGAAAATCCGATGAAAAAAATTTTCCTCATTTTGTAGTTCGTTTATAAAAAGGGTTTTTGAAATTATTCTTATAATTTTTTAAGGATATTTGTTTGTCCTGAGTGAGAATTTGGTAAGTAATTCTAAATGTTTTTTGTTTTAATGTTTGGCATTACTAATAAATTTACTTTATTTTATTTTTTTACTAGTTTTCGTAACAGAAGAAGCCAAATTAACCATCAGAGTGCCAGTGTTTTTTGAAAAAAAAAAATTGTAAATATGTCGGGTTCAATGCAGGGCCGCTGGATTCAAACACGGGTTCTTTACTGCACATCGATGAACGATGTGTCAACGCCTAAACTGTTGAGGCCACAAATTTATTCTGTGTAATGAATTATTATAAAATCTGAAAGTGATAGACTGGCAGTTTACCTCCCAACTCCTCGTCTGCCTATTCTTGCTATCCTCATCTGACTGATGCATTTTAGATTTTACTGACTGGGTACAGTCACATAAAGAAGTGAAAATAGGTCTATTACAGAACCCTTATGGGTTTATACTGTGTAAAATGTGCATTTTCCTTCACAACTAACTATTTCCTAATGCCTCTTGGTGTAAGAATTACCTTACCAAAGTGGCTAATCACATTCACAAAAAGGTGCCAATGTATCTTTTTTATTTATTTTTTTTATTTTTAGGTGGTATAACAGGTCAGTGGCTAGTATAGAGGCCTATAATATTCCTCTAATATTGTTGCTGAATGAGAAGAATACCTTTGCCTTCCTTTTTGAGAAATGTACAAGTTTCTTGCTTGCCTCATATATGGCATTTTTGTTCAGTGCGTTTTTTTTCTTTCTCAAGTCATTTTTCCAGCTTCAACTTTAGCACACTCCCTGATGTGCTAGAGATGGTTCCAGTGCCATGAGTGAGAGGGCTGCCCTTTCTTTGGCTAGTTGGTTCCTTCTACACCTTCATGTCCTGGAACCATGGAGCTAAAATCATACCCATTTAGTGCTTTTATAGCTGCCTGACTATCTGAAAGCCCTTTTTTAAATTTTTTTAAAATGCATTCCTGTGCACAAAATTTGTTTGCATGAACCTCAGCTTGGAACATAGTTGGGTCCAGTCCAAAGGGTTTTGAGTAATTTGACTTTTTTACCCCTACATATACTCCATTCCATCTTTGATCTGTATTAGGTCCACTTCTAGAATCTTGGGGTCACCTTTTTCCCCAAAGATCTATGCTCTCTATGACTTGGAAGGGGCTGTTAACGTCAAGTTTTCCTTTTATTTTGCCAGATGTCATTATACTAATCTAGTCTATTTTAATTCTCTCCAGAATTTGTGATGGCTTCTTAGATCTTATTGTGTTGTATCTCAGGAGACTGTTGGCACTTTCCAAAGCAACCTTTTGAACATAAATGTAGGAGATAGATTGCGGTTGTGGAACAACTGACAAGTATACAGCTGTTATGTTACATACTAAGTCATTGTACACTTGTCAGTTTGTTCTGTTTCTTCTTATGCAGTTTGGCTACCATATAGTGCTCCATCTATATGAGACAAGAAGTCAGACCAATGATCATTATGGTGTATAAACAATATTCTATCCTGGGGTGTATTCCCTAGTTTTTGCTTCATATCTCTGGCCAATGGTTGGCAGTGCCTATAGGTCTGCACCATTTGTGTATGGAGGATAATGACTGTGTACTGATACACGAAACAAGTGAAAAGATCCAGGTTGATCGACTGATTTATCAACTTGCAAACAATATTTTTCTAGTACAATGTTCAGCTTCTTACACGATTCGAATTACAAAACCAACTCTAAAGATGACAATATAACAGCTCGAAGCGACTTTTTTTAAAAACATTATCAAGAGGGAGTACAGTTTTTCATTTCAAGACACTGAGAGACAAAAGGTTATTAAAAACAAACTAGCTGTATGTTATGAAAACTATATTATATATTTACACATTCTTTCATATATATAACCAAAGTGTTACATCCCGTCCAACTGTTTCTTTAAATTCAGCTCCTCTTTTTTCCTGAGAGACTCCTTCGCATTTTCAAGCATCTCTCTATGAATAGGGTTTTCTGGTGGGTATATTTCCCTTTTTACCGAGACAACCCAATCCTCGAAATACTGCGGCTGATTGAAAAAGTGAAAGATACCAACCGGGAAGGCCATGTACAATGCCATTTTACCCACTTCTAGTTTCCATCCACCCATTGGCAAGAAGTATAATTCCTAATACAGATTATGAAGTTAATTAATTTGTAAACTTGTATTTTATCTATGTCTGTTTACAACTTGGAAAGTAAAGTAAAACTGGGTTAAATTACCTGTCTTTCCTATTTCAAATGTAAAAATTAAAAATGTAAATCTTTGAAGGATTTGTTTTTCCCCCTTTTAATAACGCGAAATGAGTTACTTCTATTTATAAATTAATACGATTTTAAACCTTTTCTGTGATAATAAACAATTTAAATCGCTTGAATGTGTATTAAACAAAACGCAAAACGTACACTTAAAAGGTTTAACTCTAGGACAGTTATCAGTGAAATTGATATGGCGCTGAGTACCTTATCACATGTTCAAAACTGATAAGAATTAAATACGGGGTTAAACAGAGAAAGAACAATTTTTATTAATTACAAATATTTTATATCACATAATTTCTGCCTCGGAATTTTTAAGTCGGTCTATTCGACGCCTGCCATGAACAACAGGAATTCGTCGTCGTCTACGTCGTCAGCACCATTGCCGGACCCAGTCCTTTTGAAAAAGCTCATCGACATGGGCATCGAAGAACGTGTCGCGAGAAAAGCACGTAAATTTAACTTAACTAAGTCCGATTTGCTTTTTAAAACTTTGATGTGAGCTTTTTTCTAAGCGTTTTGGAAATAGTGGATCGAGAAGTAGCCATGGAATGCATGTATTGAATTTTAGCTTCTTGAACTACAGCACCCATTGAGGTCCAATAGTCATGCAACTGACATAAAATGCGACTTTTGTCTTACAAAGCAGCTTCAGATATTAATACATATTATAAAATTGTTATATAATAATAGCATTTTGTTAGTTTTGGGTAAAAAAATTGATTTATTTAAGACTTCAAAAATTGAAATTTATCACCCTGAAATGATCCGTTGAAGTCCAACCGTCATAGGAAACCCGACATAAAATGCGACTTCTAACAAAGTAGCCTTAGATTTTAATACATATTATATAATTGTTGTATAATAATAGCCTTAACTTAGCTAAGTTCGTTTTGCCTTTTAAAACTTTGTTATGAGCTTTTTTTCTAATCGTTTTGGAAGTAGTGGATAGAGAAGTAGCCATGGAATGCTTTGCCTCTTGAATTACAGCATCCATTGAAGTCCACAGTCATACAACTAACATAAAATGCGACTTCTGTCTTACAAAGAGGCTTCAGATTTTCATAATTGTTATATAATAATAGCATTAACTTAACTAAGTCCGATTTTCTTTTCAAAACTATGTGATGAGCTTTTTTTCTAAGCGTTTTGGCAGTAGTGGATCGAGAAGTAGTCAAGGAATGTATGTCAAGGAAATTTGCCTCTTGAACTACAGCTTCCATTGATGTCCAATTGCCATATGACAGCTGACATAAATGCGACTTATGTCTAACAAAGTAGCCGTCAATTGACAACAGATAGAACATTCAGCTTATTATAAGTAAACGTCGAAATTCAGTATGAATTACATTTCAGTTTTGGGTTTCAAATGTTGATTTTGACGTATGAAACTAATAAAAAACAGGCAGAAAATGCCACTCATGTCAAATAAATAAGCCTCAAATCACAAAATTCATAATTTAAATAAAATACATGTCATAAAAAATAAATAAATTGAAATTTCACCCCATGTAGTTATCCGACGAAGCGCAATCATAAAACAACAGGCAGCACGTGCCACCAATTATCCTAGTAGGTATGTAATAAAAAATTCATACAATATTACTTCCGACTACCAACGACACTGGCGGTTCTAGGTTCGAATCTCGGCGTAGCCCATGAATTTTCGTTTGAGAATAGTATAAAAAAAATATTGTGAAGTGTTTTGACCCCTTTGTCCGCGACGCCCAACGAGAAATTGGACGTTAATCCTCCTGTATGACAGGTATAGCTTACTATCGATTTTGACGATTTTATTGAAATTTCGCCTTTAAAGTTATGAAGTTCAACCGTTATACATCAGGCAGAAAATGCCTAACGGACATGTTTTTTAAATAATGATTAATCAATACAACGCCATACGTAGATGGTTTTGTAGTATAGGTTCCGGGAAGCTGCTGATGAGGATAGAGTCCTCTAAAACGATAACCTAGTAAATAAAATACCCCTTGATAAATTCCTAAAAATATTCATAAATGTTTATTGATAATAATTTTCCAATGATTTGATTGTATAAACATTTATAATCAATAATTATAGTGTTGAAAAAATAAGTGATATATTCGTAAAACACGTTTCCTACGTACTGTTTTCTCATTGGAAAGCACTTTTTGGATTTCACATTTACAAATTATTGGATGTTTTTTAATTTCCAAATTGTTCAAGGATGAGCGATTTTTTGGCTTAGCTTTTAAAAGGTGATTAATTACCATGAAATGATACATATGAGTCGATATTTTAATACGTAATTAATGCGTAATTTTACACGATTTTAAAACGATGTTACTTTTAAGTTTGTGTTACAGGCGTTGTCTTTGACAAACAACGAGTCTTTGGAATTGGCTTCGTCTCTCGCTTTGGATTTAATAGACGGTGACATAGAAGACGACATCCCTTCTTACCGAATGATATTTATTGTTAACGGTAGCTTGAAAATGACAACAGGAGAAATTGCTTTGCAGGTAATTAACATTCGTTTGTCAGATGAAAGGGATTATTCGGTGGGTTTTTACCAATTTTAGTAACCGCTTAGGTTGCGGATTCTTTGTTGAAAATGTACCATGAAATCGTCCTCCTCGGTATTGACGGTAAGACGGTTATCGACAACTGGAGGGCTCTCGGGTAAGTCATTGAGACAGAGACGGTTAGACAGTACGAATTTACGTTTTTTCTTCTTCTTTTATTCAAAAGAGAGAAAAAATTGGTTTATAAAGGGATGAACGATTCGCACTTGCAAGAGCTATCGGCGCAGGCCACAGGGGCCAACCTCTTCTGGCTGTTCACCAAAACCCGAGAGGCGACACCGACTTTGTCCGAAGGCGCCCTGACGATTTTGGCTATAATGGGCACAGAACAGGACACAGCCAACATCATCAAGAAGCTGGAAATACTGTGATTTAAATAAATCAGTGAATAAATTGATTCAAATTTTTTTTGTATTACTAGGATATTGCAATTGTATAATCTAGATATCGGTATGGTCTGGATCAAAAAACAAATTCCATTGTTATCTGTCAAACTACCTTGTATACATCTTTAAGATTGTTTTGCCCCGATGATGACCTAAAAATTGATCGAAAGCTTGGTAGTTAACAATTGAATTTGTTGGGCGTCGGTGGCCGCAACGGTTTACGCGTTGACACGGCGCTCATCACTGCAAGGTAAAGGTCCCGGGTTCGAATCTAGCGGCCCTGCATTCGAACCCGACATACTTATAAATGGTCTTTTTTTTTTTTTTCAAAAACACCGGCACCCCGAGGGTTGATATAACTTCTGCTGTTGCAAACCCTCGTAAAAAAAATCCAGACCGTGCCGAGATCCAAATTATTCGTAAGTAAAAAAAGTGGTCGATACATCTATCTCTTTGAATATATTTCAATTGCACTGAGCTTGTATTATTGTATTGATAATTTGTAATCAAATTATATATATGTATATATGTATATATATATATATATATATATATATATACATTTAAGGACAAAGCCTTTCTAAATAATTTGATAACGTTTTTCTACATGTTTATCATCAATGTTCTAAATATTTTGCTTATTTTTCTGATCTCGTCTGATCAGCATAAATATAACGAGGGTCAGGATGAACACAATTAGTAACCATTAAAACAACAAAATGTTGCAATACTAAAAGATAACGAAGGACCAGTAGGAGTTTTCTCTGACCCGCAAGGAGGTGTCACGAACCAAATACACAGAATTAACAAATACAATTTTTCAGTGTTTCTGACTCAGTTGTGAGTAATTAAAAAGAGTTGAATAAAAGGATTGCGGTGTACAAGTGATTCGCTAGTTGTTCTGGGTTCGAATTACGGCATATCCTTCGGAATTTTATTTGAAATTAATTGGGCGACGATTGGTTTACATTTTCAGATTTAGCTAAAAATCTAGCTAGATAAAAAGTTTTATACATATATATACATATTTATTAATTGCAACACATTTATCTCAATGTAATCCATATTAAACGAGATCAGAAATTCATTAGTTTTAATAAAATTTTTTAATTAAGATGGTTTAAAAGAATATCAACCAAAACACCGGGAAATCATTCATTAATATAAAACCACATTTTCCCAATATCCATCATCGTCATCGTCATCATCATCATCATCGTTACAAATTGCAACATCAAATCATCGCAAACAGCAATAAACGCAAAGTTTTTGATTTACATATACATTATATTACATAACAAATTTATATAAATATTTTTTTTAAAGAAGCACAGGCCTCATGACCATCTGATTTTGAAACTTCGACAACTCCTGGGACTGCTCTTGGACTTCACGCCAAAATGGCCAATTACGGCCACTTGCATTGTATGGAGGCCGTTCAAATCAATCACGCCAGACATGTAAACATGCATATTGTGCATGTACATGTGCATATTATATCATTGTAAATAACATAATTTTCGTTCGTTCCATTTTTTATGCAGTTGTGAAATAAATAAATAAATAAAAAAAAAAAAAAGTAATACAGATAGTATTTTTTCTAATTTTGTTGTTATAAGCTGTATACATTTTACATTATCAATGTACATACAACATTTTTGTTTTGATATATACTTTCGCTCAATTTATTAACATTATTTTTGCTCAATCACCTGGTTTTTGCACGAAAAAATGGCCAACTTTGAAAAGGCATATTTTCTCAGCCACAAACCTGTGCTAGGCCTAGTTTTTTTAAGAAAATTTAACGCTGAATAAGATGGCTTTTTAATTGTTTTCCTAGCTTCAGTCATTCATCAGTAAATTTAAAAAATTCAGTAACATGTTAATTTTTGAATTTGTGTTTCGAAAATTACAAATTGAGCTGTGGAGCCAAGAAATCGTCTTTAGATATGGATGGAAGCGCTCTGTAGCGATCGATTGGGAATTTTAATAAGCTTTCAATTGGTCACCTTCCACTTTGCCCGATTTCTCAACCGTTTTCGAGTTATTCGCGATTTATCCCCGTCTATATAATCCTGAAAGGATAATCTGGCCGAACCATAACCAACGTTTTTCCCACCATTCACTTTTTTCCACATCCTACATGTATTTGTTAAATTTAAACAATGTTTGTAAATCGCAGGCCCTGAAGATGATCTCAATAAAGATCGAAACGTTGGCACAATAAAGAAAATGTTTTTCTGAAAACTACGTCACACCAGACCGCATCTCTCGATTTACCAATAGTCATGTTCCCGAATTTTTGAATTTACTAATGAATAACTGAAGGTAGGAAAACATTTAAAAAGCCATCTTGTACAGTGTAAAATTTTCAAAAAAATGAGACCTAGCAGGTGTCTGATTTGAAAGGAAATAAGAATTTTCAAAGTTGGCCATTTTTGTCGTGCAAAAACCAGGGGATCAGTTTTTTTTTTGATTGGCAGTGTAGTTTGGAAGTAGGTAATATGTATTTAAAAATGAACAATTTTAAAATTATTATTAAAAAAATAGAATTTTATGGGGAATAACATTGAACAAATTGGCATAGCATATAGCCGGTTTGTCCTATTGACCTAAAACTTGTTCTTTTTGATCCTGCACGAATAATTAGATGATAATTGGCTCCACATATATGTAATTGTTATCGGTGAGTATGCTAGAAGGGTTTTCCACTTGTTGGATATTTTTCCCGCTGTAAAACGGAGATGTGGCGGGGCTTGGGTCGGTTGACCATGTTTGAAAAATGGCGGGAGCGATTGTGTCGGCGCGGCGCCTGTTTGAAGCCGGTGCCTCGATTTTCCTCGGAAGCAGCGAGAGGCGAGACACGCCCCTAGGCCTCCCCTCTTCCCTGGCCCTAGTTCATCAGGTGTAATCAGTTATGCCCAGTGCCCAACGTTGAACCGATCCGTCGACTCGGTCTTTCCCGGCCCCGTTTTTTTGTGTACACACTGCCTTTCTCCGCCACTCGGTCCGACTCTTTCTCATTCCCCGACGACGGGCGGATCCCCGGTTTGTGTTGTGTCTCTCCCCCGCCCCAGTCTCTCGGTTTCCGCGAGTGTGCACCCTTCGATCCGGAGACAGGGAAGCCGATCACCGCCTTCGGCTTAGCCACTTTTCCGCCGCCTCCTCGCACGAAAGAGACCCGTCAAACTCGCCTCCCATTCAAGGATTAACCATGGCCGACGACGAGATACTTTTCGACGATATCTACGAGCTCTGCGAAATTATTGGAAAGTGAGTAAACACTTTATAACCTTGCTTTCATAAAAACAAAAAACACTACTTGTAATTTCTTCGTGGGAAAAGGGGAAACTCGATGTAGCCCCAAATCGCATTCCGCCGCGTCGAGACATTTTAAGTTTTACTATCCCATTGATCAAACAGGAAACCGAGTCGATATTTACACGGATTACGGGCGGTGCGATTCACGGATCCGCCGGTGCTTCGCACCGTCCCCCGTCCCCGTTGCGATTCTTACCCCGGGCAGACGGAATCAAGGTTTTCCATCATAAAAGTGATTGATCCGCACTCTGATATCAATAATACCCATCAATCCTCATATAAAACAATCCTATCATCTGCTCGCACAATAGAACAATAAATTCAAATATAAAGATAATCATCCCTCAACGATGATAATGTAATCAATCCAATAAAACTAAAACTAATCAGTATTTATTCCTACAATATAATCTTCGAAATCGACCAAATCAACTTTTCAACAAAGAAGTCGTGATAACATACCAAACACAAAAAAAAAGAAAAATTCGCATAACAATCAAGATAACAATCGCAATCACTATAGGGTCTTAAGCGAAGCAAAGGTACGATTAAAACCTATACAATAATCACAAAACAACTGTTTTTTTTTTTTAAATTAGTATTTAAAAAAGTAAAATGTCTTTATTTCTTCAGCATCATCTTGGAAACTGACAACAAATGTCCAACTGAACATTAAAAAGTCAGAGTTTAGTAAAAATGAAAAAAAGAAAGATAAATGATCAAAATAATCAATCCCAATTTTTACAGAATCTTGGACTAGGAAAATGTACTTAAAAACCCTTAACAGTAAATAGTAGGAACATCATCTGTTTTTTTTATTAATGATTAAAAAAGCCATCTATCTGTATTTCTTCAACATAATCTTGAAGACCGCCTACAACAAATGTTCAACTGAACATCAAAAAGTCATAGTTTATTAAACATGAAAAAAGAAAGATATTGATATGGCAGATGTGAAAACACAAGGCAAAAAAAATTTAAAGAAAGATAAATAACTGCTTAGCAATAAAGATAATCGATCGCAAGTTGTACAGGAACTTGCGCTAGACAAATATACTTAAAAACCCTTAACAGTAAATAATAGGATCATCACCTGTTTATTTATTAGTTATTAAAAAGTAACATATTTATTTCTTCAGTATCATCTTGAAAACCGCCCGTAACAAATGTTTAACTGAACATCAAAATGTCTAGAGTTTATTAAACATGAAAAAGGAAATTGCTTAGCAATCAAAATAATCAATCCCAATTTTTACAGAATCCAGCACTAGGAAAATGTACTTAAAAACCCTTAACAATAAATAGTTGAAACATCATCTGTTTTTTAATTAATAATTAAAAAAACCATCTATCTTTATTTCTTCAGTATCATCTTGAAAACCGCCTACAACAAATGTTCAACTGAACATCAAAAAGTCAGAGTTCATTAAACATGAAAAAAGAAAGATAAATAACTGCTTAGCAATAAAGACATCAAGATTGATCACAAGTTGTACAGAATTTTACGCTAGGGAAAGATACGTTTAAAAAGCCTTAACAAGAGATAGTACGAACATCTGTCATTTATCTTCAGTGTCATCTTCAAAACCGACCATACCTGTGCAACTGAACATCCTCAAAACTTATTAAACAAGACCAAAATAATGATTTGCTGCTTAAAAACGAAAATAATCTATCACAACCTCTTCAG